CAGAAGGCAGAGCTCAAGCAGTAATGCAAGTAAGTGATGGGGAGCAGCTGTAGGTGCAAATGAAGATTCACTCGCTCACCACCACTCACCTCCTGCTGTGCAGCCCAGTACTGGTCTGTGGCCCATGGCCCGAGGGTTGGCGACCCCTGAGCCAGATCTTCTTAGGCCACCTATCCAACTGTGAACCCTCAACGTGCCCATCCCAGAAGCTGCTTTCATGTTTGACTCCTCCCTTTCAGATTCCGTGCAGTCACTGTTCTCGAGACCTGATTGAACTGCTGGACTCCATGGACACTCTGACCACTTTGTAAGTGGGCCCGGTGAGCACTCTTCTTAGCAGCAGCCATTCCAGAGCTTTCATTTCAATCTGCTCCTTCCCAAGTCAACTCTTAGGATCTTATTTTCATCTTGGGGTGCCTCCTCCTTATATCCCTGCCTCAATCCTTTCATCTCAGCTGAGAAACTCAAAGAGCATAAAAATCTGGCTACACAGTTCTAGAATGCTCATCTTCGTCAAGGATTCATTCACACAGGAGTTAACCTCTAGGCTTGTTGTTTGCTAGCCCTATTCCAACCAGAGCTCCACAGAGGGGCACTGATGGCACCAGGGAAGGTCACATTGTCCTAAAATGTTTCTTTAAGAGTCTATGTATCTCCATTTATCTGGAAGAAAATCCATTGGAAATTCACCAGCCTAGCTTTAAAAAGGCCAAGAACAGTGTACTAAATTCCATATTTGTTTCTTAACACTGATTGGAGAAAAAGGTGCTGGTTGGGGATCACCCTCAAAATCCCGTTCACTTAAATGATTACTAATTTTAGGTAAAAAAAAAAAAAAAAAAATCTTAATCTGATTTTATACCAGCTTTTAAAAAAGTACTTGAAGACCATATTAAACACATCTTTTGGACAAGAAGTAACCAGTAAGTTGTATTTACTTTTAAGACTAATGACAATAAAGATAAAATAAAAGAATCAGACACACGTGAAGTTAAAGGACATTTTATTTACTGACAGATTAAAAACTGTAACTCCAGGTGGCGCAAAATGCACCACTGAACCCAATTACAAAGAACAGGTGTTAACACACAATGTTTAAGCAATGCTACACTTATTTTTGGCAAAGTGCTGTATTGTTCAGTCTGTGTACAAAACTGACCATCTAGGAACCAATCAGTATAAAAATTTCTATAAAAACAGAAAAAAATTTAGACAGTGGCTCAAGAAAACAAGCTGCCATTTATGCATAGATTGATGTACAGTATATAACCTAACCAGATGTCCCTTTTGAGTTTTCAAGTTGATGAAAATAAATTGTGTCCAGAAACACATGAGGAAGGCACATAGTACAGTCTACAATACTCTTCAGTCTCCATTACTCACGTCCTGTCCTTGAAAAGCAAATGAGTTTACAATTTTACTTGAGAAAAAAACAAAGCCACTTTTTTTTTTAATAACACACACACTTATTAATTAAAGTTAAAAACCTCTGGAGGAAAACACAATCAAAAAGCAATCAAAAGCACTCATACACTCCAAGTCTGAAAACACACACACCTAACCTCCCCAAGGAATGACTTGGTTTTTAGAAGCCCACCTAGAAAACAAATACTAACACTTCAGGCAAACACAGAGCAAAGCGGGGCATTTAGCAATTATACAATTTTTAAAAAAATGTCATAAAGAAAATTCTGAATGATACACCAAATATTACCACCTAAGCTGCCTTCCTTTGAATAGTAACTTCTCCTCCCACATAAAGGATGCTGCTGCAAATAAAAGATATCCTTATCTGTGTGCTTCCCCGTACCTCTTTCTCCACACTAAACCACTTTAGTTGGTGTCAAATTCAAGTGACATTAGTATGTGGCAAGGCTGACACCACTGTATCATGTACATTTTCTAAAAAAAGCATTTTATATAAAATTTTAAGCATTAAAGTAAGATGGTAGGGATGCCCTTTGTAACACACCAGCATGGCTGATGGCAGTGAAGCCATCCACAAGAGAAGCCCAACCTTTACAGGAGTTTAACCAGTATTTATGGGCCTTATAAAGTAAAAAGATAATTTTAAGGTAACATTACAAACATATACTAGTAACTAGTATCTCCCAGTACAAGGAGCAGTCTCTTAAGTGATTCTAAAAACAAAAACTAATACTTGGAAACTCAAACTTTTTCAACTAAGCTATTCAAAAATAAATGTCTATCTTCTAGTTGGATTCCTTCATTTTTTTGTTTCCAATTCAAAGAAAATGAGAGTAACAAATATACTCTTCCTTGCTCGTTTTTCTTTCTTTCTTTTTCTTTCTTTTTTGAGTAGGAGTCTCACTCTGTCGCCCAGGCTGGAGTGCAGTAGCACACTCACGGCCACCATAGTTCTCCACCTGCTGGGTTCAGGTGATCCTTCCACTCAGTCTTCCAAAGTAGCTGGAACTACAGGCGCATGCCACCATGCCCAGCTAATTTTTTGATTTATCATAGAGACGAGGTCTCACCATGTTGCCCAGGATGGTCTCAGACCCCTGGGCTCAGGTAATCCTCTCATCTCTGCCTCCCAAAGGGCTAGGATTACAGGTGTGAGCCACCACGCCCAGCCTAGTTTTTCTTAAGAGTGTATAAAGAAAATATATTTCATTGAGGAGGAAGAGAAGTAGCAAAGAAACTCAGATTTCAATAAAGACAAAGATTACAAACCAGTGTACTATACAGATTTGGGAAGCAAAAATAATAGGCAATGCCAAACAGCTCTCTCAAGTTTTAAGTAAACTGTTTTCTCATAAGAACCAAAGTACTGATACAACCGACAAGGTATGTAAACAGGAACAGTTTGCATGGAAATTGAAAAATGTACAGGAAATTAATATTTAAACAAAAAAATCCAATTACTTTGCATCTTTTACAAAAAACTCCCCATGCAACCAACCACATAAATGCATTGTCACATAAGATAAATAATGGATGGCTAATCTTCAACTTACAGTGCAGAACACAATATAATTCGTTAAGGAAGAAAAAGTGATAAACATAAGATATACATTATAAAATGTTTTATTAACAAAAACACACGGTGCACTGTAAAAGCTAAGAAACTCATTCATGAAGCACTGCTGTGTATACTATGTATTCCAGACTTTTTTCCAAGTAACATTCTATGTTATCAGTTTAGAAACATTCAGAGCTACTAAATCCGGAGGGGTCTTATTTCTCAATGCTTAAATTTATAAGAAATATGCACTAAAGTACATTGTAAACCGCTAATATTTACAATAGCAAAAGTAATAATAAGTTCATAATAAAATGCATTTTGGCCATGTTTCAAAGAACACTTCACAAGTCAACATTGTTCTGTGTTGCTGCTGGCCTATGTCTTACACACAGTAGATGCTTGTCATCTGATGACCAAGAACTTCCACTGAGTTGTATAACCATTTTCTTCATTCTTACATGTGCCAGTTTTGGACAGAAACCTTAGATACTGATACAGAAACCACAGTATGATATAACAGGTGGTGTGGTAATTCTAACCCTCCCCAAAAATCCCAATGACTGAAGTTTTTTGTTTTCCATACACAAAACATGAAAAAACAAGACCTAGAAAAGGCAAACAAAAACTCAATAACTGATAAGAGATATAAATGTACTTAAGGTACCAAGAAATCTGAAAAAAAGAGAGCACTGCAGTTTTATATACAAATCTGTTCATGCTACCAAACAAATTCTCATGGCTGAACTTCTTAGCTTGTGAGGTACTAACAACTTGCATGCAACATATGAAAAAGAACCCCACGGATTCAGAGGCTGACATCCTGAAGACATTTAGCTGGTTTATTTTCAAGTTACCAAGGTACGACCCTATAACAGACGTGGTGTAAAACATACACACCTTCATGAAAATGCTACCTTATCTCCCAACTCAGGTAAACACAAAATAGTCATAAAATAACTTCTAACTCAGTTTGACAACACTTTACAGACTTGGCCCCTAGTTAGGAAACAAATAAATAAAGGGGAAGTCAAAATGTGAGGGACAACAAGGAGAAAAGGGGGATCTAAACTCTTGTTCTAAAGACATCCTGGCACTCACAGCCAGTGGAAGAACAATCTCAAGCCACCATCTGACTACAGCCTTGACCTCGTCCACTTTAGACGCTCCAGTCTGGTCGGGAAAGAACACTGCTCTTCCTTAGTCTCCCACGGTTCCTGGCATCAAGCTGCTACAGGGTTATTGAAAAGTAGAATAATACTTCACATAACTATATGCTGCTTTTTTCCTTGAAAACATTTTATAGACATGTACTCAGTGAGAGTTGCAGAGGAGGTGGAAAATGAAGCTGTTTGATTATGAACGTGACACTACTGTTGTCAGTAGGATGTGCTGTGAGCTGTAAATGTTTTAATTTCAGAGGAAACCAGTGAAGAGTATGGATGGCTCAGCAAAACCCATCACAACTGCTGAAAAGGAAGCGACCGGCTAGAGGTAAGGAACTAGATTTTCTCCGTGTCGCGTTAACTGGCCCACATGTGAATCGAACCCTGCGCCCGGCCTCGTTAGCACCAACACTGTGAAGAACAGCTGTGGCAACGTAGGTGCCACAGCCCCAACCTGTCACCAGATTCAGTAGAAAGGCCCTCTAAATTGCCCAAGGTTCAGTTCTGGACAGCCCCACTTCCCATCAGTCCATAAGCCTCACAGTGACTCTGTGAGGGAGGTATCATTACTCCCCTGTTGATGGAAGAACAGAGGCCAGAGTGGTTAAAGATTTTGCCTGAAGTTAAAACAAAAAGTGAAAAGTCAAGAAGCCAACCTGTCACCCTTCACTCAGACTCCATGAAGACATCACCAGAAACTCCCCCTCATCCTGGCTTGCCACATGGCAGGACAGGCTCCACGGCAGGGGATTGCTCACTGTATCTGGAAGTAGAAAGCCTATCTCTTTTCCCATGGGCAGAGAGAAATATGAAGTCACTCAAGTCCTGGACAAGTTATTCTGAATTTACAGCTGCTGTAAGGTGAGGAGTGGGCAGAGCTGGCAAGAAGAAATCAAAACCACTTAAACACAAACACTGCACTAATGGGTTAGTTACAGACATGAATTTTCCCAAATACAATTTCACAGGTCTAATTTAATCCCTCTGCACGTGAGACAAGGACTTTTGACCACGACACCTATGAAGTCTGTACCATGTCATGGAGTCACATTGGAATCACTGAAAGCACTGTCCACCAAAGCTTAATGTACCTGAATTCCAAAATGAACTGCATGACTAATCTGGGGAAAAAAAACCATACACATAGAAATATATCAAGTTTTCATTCAAAACAAAGTCCAGCCATAATTCCATTATGTCCATGGCAACTATCACCTGTTAATGCTCATGTTAGTGTGTAAAAACGTTTTCGTTATATACAGAAAAGATTATCAAGTACTGGTCAATAAAGTGTATGGCTGACCCTGAGAATAAATTTGATTACTCAAAAGATTAAGTAATACAAAATAAAATGAAATTGAAAGATACCTATTCTCATCCTTGGGAAGAAATGTCTTTAAAATGCTGACTAACTCATGTACATCTTAACAGATTTAAAGACACCCCCTAAACACCAAATACTGTAATTGTATTGATATGTTTTCAAAAATATGCTGAAAAAATTTACAAAAAAGTGTTAAGAGCAAGGCATTATGTGATACACAGCATATAAATCTGCTTTTCAAGATAGTGTCTAAACACACTGATAAAACTATCTGATTGGTCATCAATTGGCTGTAAAGAGACAACATTTCGTTGTACATACACACACATCTACACACACATGCACAAACCAAGAGAAACCAACCAACAGAACTTGGAATCTCAGTAATTGTACTGACGCGGGCAGGGCTGATGAACAACCCAGCCACTGTGCTTCACTTGCCGGGAGTGGCCATCCCTGGTAAGATTTTGGCGACGGAGGCTATTTCTGTTAAGAGACTGTCTTTCACTATGTTCTTTTATCCACTGGGAAGGGCGAAAGCTCTTGGGTTGTTCCAGAAAAGTTGTATGTGCAGCAAGAGCTGCAACGTAGCAGTGAATGTGCTGCCCCATTTCATTTTGAGCTTCCACTCTGAAACAGAAAAAAGTGGGGATGCATTAAAGAACCAAATATGTTATCGATGAGGCTGAAGAAGTAACTCAGCAATTCAGTTTGCCACACTAATTTGTCTATGACTGAATGAGAGCCCAGTGTCTCACGGCTGACAGATTTATTATTTTGTGACCACAGTGACTGACAGTGATGGAAAGGAGAGGCCAACTTTTAACAGAAATGTCATGTAACCCACAGTTAGCTCACTAAGTAGACCAGAATATATTCTAAAAATATCCTTGATACTTTCAGTGATCCAGAACACATGCATTCTTTTTTTTTGAGTCTCATTCTGTCACCCATGCTGGAAATCAGTAGCATGATCACAGCTCACCGCAGCCTCGACCTCCTTCAGGTGATCCTTCCTCATCAGCCTCCCAAGTAGCTGGGACTACATGTGTGGGCCACTGCACTCAGTTAATTTTTTAAAAAATATTTTGTAGAATGAGGTCTCGCTATGTTGCCTAGGCTGACTGCAAATTCCTGGGCTCAAGCAATCCTCCTGCCTTGGCTTCCCAAAATGCTGGGATTACAGGCATGAGCAACCGTGCCAGCCCCAGAACACATACATTTATATATGCTTTTCTGGGAGGTAAAAACTAACATTTATTGACTATCTGTATTTGCTGTTTTGCAAATATTATATATTTTAATTCTCACTATCACCTTAAAAAGAAAATATTTTAATTCCTAAATGTTTCTGATCAGAAAGCACTGTGCCAACGGTACCTTCACAGACATTTCCAGTATATAAGTAAAATGTTCTACGAAACACACTTTAAATCTATATTTAACAGAAATATGCATCATGAAATTCTACTCACCATTTTTCTAGGTAAGTGCTATGGTTTATTATAAAAGACGACTCCTACATTTTTATTTATATCACAACAGGGCACACTTTAGAATGGTATTTTCAGAGCAATGTTATAAAGACTCTTGAAGAATACATAATCTTAAAATATGGCTACATACAGTATGACTGTATGCTTTCTATATAAAAACTAATCAAGTAGGATTGATCTAAATTGCATTAACATGAGAAGCTTTATGTTTTTTTGTTTTTTGTTTTTTTGAGTTGGAGTCTCACTCTGTTGTCCAGACGAGTGCAGCGGCCGCTCCCAGCTACCACAGCCTTGAACTGCTGGGGGCTCCGGCGATCCTTCCGCCTCAGCCTTCCGAGTAGCTGGAACTACAGGCGCATGCTACCATGCCCGGCTAATTTTTGATTTATTGTAGAGATGAGGTCTCGCCAAGTTGCCCAGGTGGGTCTTGAACCCACGGGCTCAGGCAATCTACTCACCTCAGCCTCCCAAAGGCGCGGGATTACAGGCTGAGCCACCGAGCCCGGCTAGCTTTAAGATTTTTAAGGGTTATGTTATATAGCAAAGGCAGTCATATATTCCGCCTAAAATCACGTGAAGAAAACAGTTATCTTTTAATACACATATATATATTTAAGTAGAACTAAAGCAGATCACATTACAAAACTATTAGAATAAACTTATATATAGAAAGTGGTTTTGAAGAGGTCAGCGTTTGAGTTCTCAGCCTCCCTGAGCAGACTAATCACACACATCACACAGTCTCAAGGTGAATGTACTTACTCTGTGCCCGTGAGTCTTATAAGCAGCTTTTCCTGGCCCTACAAATGTTAAATGGTGGACTATTAAATCACTAGTAAGATTTAAAATGCTATTTTAACTCTACTTAGGATGTGGTCAACTTTTATTAAAACTGGTTTGCTATGTTTCATTAAAGGCACATATATTACTTAACTTAAGATTATGATAGCATACAAACCTTTACAAACAGTATTTATGAAGGCTAAAATGCAATGAAATGCACACTCTGAAGTCCAATGTAATTACAAAGCACCTTCATTTTACATTCTTTATGGTAATATCCCCAAGGACAGACACAATGGAAGCAATTTAACTTCTGAAAGACACACGATTTATTTCCTGCTCAGAAAACACAGATGTTTACTACATAATTAGTCTCTTAATTTTGATTCACACCTGATTTCTATCTTGATTTAGCAGGATTCCAAATCAAAAAATAGAGAAGTTTTAAAAATGCTTAGTTATACTATTATAAAAACTGTAAAAATTTATAGGACTTTCTATGTGCTTAAAGAATTCATATAAAGCTCAGTGTGTTCTTTTGATTATATATTGAAAAGTACATATCTGTTTAACTACCCTATATATCTGTAATACATGAATGCAAAAACAAGGTACAAAAACAACATTCTCACTGCATCAAAACTATAAACAATAACAACCAGATGCAGTGCACGGTCCTGGATTAGATGTTGGTTTGGACAAACTAAATGAAATATTCTTGGCACTATTAGAGAGATATGAATATGGTTAGGGTAGTAAATAAAGTAAAAATGACTGGGTGCAGTGGTGCTACTCGAGAGGCCAAGGAGGGAGGATCACTTGAGTTCAAGAGTTTTTTGAGACCATCCTGGGCAATATAGCAAGATCCTGTCTCTTTAAAAAAACAACAACAAAAAAAGGAAAAAATGTGTTGAAACATAAAAGTAGAGATCACTGCACCTGAATAAAGTGTCAGTTAAGGCAGCATTTGCCACCAAAGATGTTACCCAGGATACAGTCTGGCATCATGTAACTACGTAAGTTATTTTTCATCTTGGTACAAGCAAATTGAAAAATGCTGAGGCTGGGCTTGGTGGCTCGGTCTGTAATCCCAGCACTCTGGGAGGCTGAGGCGAGTGGATTGCCTGAGTCCCTGGGTTTGAGACCAGTCCGGGCAACTTGGAGACCTTGTCTCTACAATGTATCAAAAATTAGCCGGGTATGGTAGAGCGCACCTGTAGTTCTAGCTACTTGGAAGGCTGAGGCGGAAAGATCACCTGAGCCTAGCAGGTTGAGGCTGTAGTGGCTGTGAGTGTGCCAGTGCACTCCAGCCTGGATGACAGTGAGACTCCGACACACAAAAAAAGAAAAATGCTGAACCTCGTAAAGGACCATCCACAATATTGAGACTTGAGGCTGCAGGAAACCCTGGTCAAGTTAACAAATTGATGTGCTGCCTGGACTTTGTTTATATTTGGAAAACAGGAAATAGTAGAAAATATATACAATGGTATATGGGGCAAAGATAGAGCCTGAACAACCCAAAAAGAGGCCTTTTGGATAACAGGTAACAATAGGAATATTCTGAACTGCTCCAAGGATCCAAATTCACCTGGACCTCTGTCCTAAGAGAGGAAATTAAGTCAGTGCTAACACCATGGGGCACATCCCACTAAAGCACATGACAGAATAGGTCAACTTTGAGCTAATTTTTAAAAAGGGTGATGGGCTTTATTTTTGTGAGTGGGAGCAATCCCAGATATTCCCTGGATAGTTTTCCTGGATAAAGGCCTGGCCACCTGGTCAGGCAAAATGACAGTGAAAATCTGGCCTTTTAAAGTGATGTCCACATGGGGTATAGCCCTCTGGAAATTTGAGGGGTACATTAGGATATGCTGCTGGTCATCAAAAGAGCTCCCTTCCAGGGCTGGGCATAGCGGCTCACTCCTATTATGCCAGCACTTTGGGAGGCAAAGGCAGGAGGGAGGCTGAGATGGGAGGATCGCTTAAGGTTAAGAGTTCAAGACCAGCCTAAGTAACATAGTGAGAGTTCATTTCTATGAAAAATAAATTAGCTGGGTGTGGTGGTACACAGCTTCTCAGCTACTCAGGGGGCTGAAGTGGATGGATCGCCTGAGTCCAGGGATTTGAGGCTGCAGTGAGCTATGATAATGCCACTGCACTCCAGCCTCGGCAACAAAATGAGACCCTGTCTCAAAAATAGGAGTTCCCTTTCAAGTTCAGAAGGTGACTGAAACTGAAAGCAGATATATCCCCATGTGCTCACTTTAAGTGGTCACCTGGGTCTCTGAAATGAGTGGATGGGCTACTGCAACAGTACAGAGATGGGTTAGAGCTAGACATGTTCCTCTTCCACTCTCTCAGACATAAAATTCCAGGAACAACTGTTCTGTCTGCCAGCAGAGTCCTTGGTGGGAGAGCCCTGAACACAGCTGGCAAGTGAGACTGATGCTTGTAGGATTGGGGGCGGGCTGCAAATGGATCCTGAAAGGAATAGATGCTGACTCAGGACTAGGCTTTGTTTACCCTGTGGAAGACTAAAATGCTCAGAGCAATACAAAACAAGCACACAGAAGATATTGCATGGATTTGGATGGCCGACCATCAACGCTTCAGGGCAAGAAATACACACTCTAGCCCATAATGAACAACAATGGGTAGAGAGAGGTTCTTCTCAGAGTAATAGTTTGATAGATAAGTGGAACGGGCGATGAAAACACTGGTTGTCTAAACCAGTGGGAGATGAAGCACAAAAGGGACTCAGTGACTCACGCCTGTAATCCCAACACTTTGGAAGGTTGAGGCGAGAGGATAGCTTGAGGCCAGTTTGAGACCAGTCAGAGCAACATAGTGAGACCACGTCTCTACCAAAAAAAAATTTTTTTTTAATTTAATTTTTTTTTTTTTTAGTTGGAGTCTCACTCTGTTGCCCACACTGGAATGCAGTGGCCGCTCCCGGCAGCCACTGCCTCGACCTGCTGGGCTCCGGCGATCCTTCCACCTCAGCCTTCCGAGTAGCTGGAACTACAGGCATGCGCTACCACGCCCGGTTAATTTTTTGATTTATTGTAGAGATGAGGTCTCACCAAGTTGCCCAGGCGGGTCTCAAACCCACGGGCTCAGGCAATCCATTCACCTCAGCCTCCCAAAAAATTTTGTAAAAATTCGCCATGTATGGTGGCACATACCTGTGGTCCCAGCTACTTAGGCTGAGGAGGAAGGACTGCTTGAGCCCAGGAGGTCGAGACTGGGGTAAGCCGTGCCCTAACACTACACTCCTGGGCGACAGAGACTCCGACTCAAAAATAATAATAATTAGTAAAATAAAAGCTCAGCATGACTAGTGCTCCCCTTGATTTGCTTCTGTTTTCTGACTGACCTGTGAAAGAGGTGGGGGAGGATGCCAGGATGACTACGCAATTCTTGCCAAGGTAAGAGTATGCGGGGACAATGACGTTAATTTTTTCTTTCTTCCCCTCATCACTTCAACCTTTTCCCCTCTACCAGCCACAGTGGTCCTAGGACCGAGGCTGCAACTACAAGTCCTGAAGCAGAGGTAATTCCTCAGCAAGAAACTGTCACTAGGTTTTCAAGCCTTGTGTCAGAATTCGTAAGGATCTGACACCCTATCTCGCAAAACTGGCGTTAACAACGAGTGCAGCTACACTGCCTGGTGGTACAAGTAGCTCACTGCCTCTGCACCTGTGTCTCCTTGCCCCATCTGAGTGGGAGTGGGCCAAGGAGGAAGCACCCGAATAGTAGCAGTGCTGCCTGCAGTCTAGGCAAGCACAGGGGCTAAACCTAATGTCACCTCCAAGGCTGGAAAAGTTTGGGTTTAAATGAAGAGAAAGGATAAAGGAATGAATAAATGAGTTATGAATTTAGGGAAATCCAATTAACCCTCCAAAAAGGCTCAGCGCAAGAGACGACATCATCTCTAGGCTCAATCACACCAGATGCCTGAGAAGATGGAGTTCTGTGTCTGCCAAGAGCTCTCCTGTTCTGGACCCTGACAAGATCAATGGGGCCTGCAATCCCAAGTGGCCTCCCCTGGGAGACATGTTCATTCAATATGATGAAGGACTGAAGGGAAGTTCAGTAGCGTGGCAGTATCTTTTGGACTTCCTGAGTGTTGTAAGGGATGCAAGTTTGAAGACTGGGGGTGGACTGTGGTACTGCAAAATATATATCTGGTCTTGTCAGTTTCCTGGCATACAACTCCTAAAATCCTTGGAATCTCCCAAGTGTCTTTTTGTATGTTCATGATTGATTAACAGCTGGCAGTCACTAGGCAGCTCAGGGTGGGGGCTGGTCACGGAATGACCAAGGTAGGATGAGAGGGTTGGGACTTTCAGCAGCTGTCCCATAGCTTCCAGAGAGGGAAGAGGGCCTAAAGTTAAGCTGATCACCATGCCCAATCGACTTCACTAATTATGCCTGTGTACTGAATGAAGCGTCCATAAAAACCCACGGGTGCAGCTTTTGGAGAGCTTCCGGATAGCTGAACACATGGAGGTTCCTGGAGGGTGGTGTCCCCAGAGAGGGCAGGGCAGCTCGGCGCTCCTTCCCACATGCCTTGCCCTGTGCATCCCTTCAGTTGTATCTTTTTTAACATCCTTTATAATAAACTGGTAAATGTGCTTTCCTGAGTTGTGGACACCACTCTAGCAAGTTAACTGGACCAAGGTGGGGGTCATGGGAACCCCAATTGACAGCTGGTCCGTCAGAAGCACGGGTAAATGAACCTAGGGCTTGCTATTGGCATCAGAAGTAAAAGGCAGTCACTAGGTTTTCAAGCCTTCGTGGGACTGAACCCGCAACCTTGGGATCTGATGCTATCTCCAGGTAGTGTCAGAACTGAACCAGAGGACACACCCTGAGGGTGTCTGCTGCTGAAGGATGGCTTGCTTGGTGTGTGGGGAAAACGTCCACACATCTGGTAGCAGGAAGCATGGTGTGACTGCGTTAGAGTACAGTAGGGAGAAAATGAGTCTGCTGTTCTTACATTCTCAAACAAGGTTTTCAAAGTTAGGCAAGTCAATGTGACCTAACTAAGAATGCTTGGAAGAAAATAAGTATTATTTTAAAACACAGTATTCTAGTGTAATATAATATTCAATAATCCAGTATATAGTGTGCCAGAGCTATATTCTAAGATACTTAGCTGCAGTGCCAGTCTATTTATTTCCAATCAGTAGCAGAATTTTATAAATGAGACAGCTCCCTGTTATATAACTGGGACCATGCTACATCTAATTTTATTTTATTTTATTTTGCTACATCTTAATTTAAAGAATGAGCATATTTTTTTTTTGGTACCATCAATCACCCTGTGTGCACCATGCACATGCTTTCATAAATCCAAAATTATGTTTGCATCTTCTAAGAACCTAGCTTTGAACTATGGTAGAAATAAGTAAAATGCATGTTCAGTGAACTGCCTGAAGAGAGTAAAATACTTGCAACGTACCTGGGACTACCTGGGTTATGAAATTCATCAGTCCCACAACTGGCCTCACTGAGACCTGGGCAGGAGTTATGCACAGCATAGACAGACATGCTGGGATGTTCGATGAGAAGGTTTTCCATAGGACTTGTTTCCACCTTGATAGTGGTTAATCCACCTGCAGTAAAACATGGGGGAGGGGTGATAAACCAGCTCTCCTCCATTGGACAGGACTCAAACTGGAGGAAGCAGGAATCACTTGTATCAGCCAAGCACTCAAGAGATGCCGGTAAACAGGAAAAGACTGAAGGGTGCTCAGTAGGTGACTCTTCGCTGATATCTTCTTCTTCTTCTTCCTCTTCTGCTGAGAAACCAGTGCAAGTATCTACATTGTAGTCCACGTTGCAGTCCATGTGTTGTTGAAAGTTCCATGGGAAGATGATTATCACATATCCATCAAAGGCACAGCACAGCACAGAAAAGAAAAGATGATACTGTTAGCTGATGGTCACATTCCTTCCCTTATTTAATTCAGAAACAAAACCATTTATATTCACTCATATAACTATAAAATAATTTCTGAGCACCTAGCATGTGGATGTATGTGGTGTGTCACAAGCATGGGATGAATTATGTTAGCTGTGCAGGAATGATTTCAGGGCTGTTTCTATTTTGCTGAATAAATATATAATTAGCCATATGGATTACTGTTTGTCTAATAGAAGAGTTTTCTATTAAAATGTCTTTGATTTGATCAGGATATAAAAGTTGCAAAACTAAAAAGTCCAAGGAGTTACAAAACTAAAAAGTCTGACGTCAGTCAGTTTCACTATCTAGCACAGGATGTTTACTGCAACTTTTTGAGACAAATTTTTGTTTACTTTTTGAGGCTTAAAAACCTTCAGTTACTGGTTTACTTATGCAAAACAGAGATGCAAGAGTTTCCACTTGCATCTCATCCATGCAGATGAACAACCAAGTATACCTTACCTATGAAGTCAACAAGAATCCATTCATCATCTTCTTTCTCACTAAATTCTGGTTCTTGGTTGCAGGAAGTGTTGACTTCGCCCACAAACATTTTATTCAGCCTCTGGAACATTGTTAAGGCAAGATTGAGACTTTGGCTGGATGTCTTTAGAACTGAGATTTCCAAACCCTGTCTTCAGTTAGCCTGATGGCACCGACAGGAGATTAAAGTGCACAGGGTGCTTATTCAACTTAGGTGAAAAGCAGGAAGAGTCATTATCCCTAGAATACAAAAAAAAGAGAGCTATTTCCACTCAGCATATATTTATGTGTGCATTTTCTAAGTACATACACACATATCCTTAGAAGAGCACATGCGCTATGTCTCAGCCTACATCCTATCAAACACAAGAAATGCAAAAGAATGTTTTGTAAATAAAAGTACTTACAAAACATTATGAATCAGGTACTTAAATGTAACCTGTACATATCTTAAAATGTGAAATGAAAGGAAGTTGGTTCTTTTCCACATCTGCATGCTTATAATTTGAATAATGTGTTTCAAACTGCAATATCCTTTTTCTGCAAGTAGATAAGCAAAAATTAGATTTCTTTTTTGAGTCGGAGTCTCACTCTGTCACCCAGGCTGGAGTGCAGTGGCATGCTCAGTCACCACAGCCTCAACCTGCTGGGCTCAGGTAATCCTTCCACCTCAGCCCTCCCAGTAGCTGAACTACAGGCATGCACCACCACCCCCAGATAAGTTTTTAAAAAATTTATTTATTGTAGAGACGAGGTCTCACCAAGTTGCCCTGGCTGGTCTCCAACTCCTGGGCTCAGGCAATCCTCTTGCCTCCGCCTCCCAAAGTGCTGGGATTACAGGCTTGAGCCACTGCACCCGGCCTAAAAACTAGATATTAAAGTTCTTACTGGTAGGGAGCAGTGGCTCATGCCTGTAATCTCAGCACTTTGGGAGGCTGAGGTGGGAGGACTGCTTGAGCCCAGGAGTTCGAGACCTCATCTTAACAAAAAATAAGCCAAGCATGGTGGCATGCACCTGTAGTCTCAGCTACTTGGGAGGCTGAGGCAGAAGAATCCCCAGAGCCCAGGAGGTTGAGGCTGCAGTGAGCCATGATCATGCCACTGCATTCTAGCCTGGGCGACAGAGTGAGACTCTGAGTCTTCTAACAAGCCCAGCACCAGTGCCTGGTGCCCACCATGGTGTCAGCCCTCTTCATTCCTCCTGTTCTGTCCTTCTTGTGCATGGCTATAAACACATCTACTGGAATTTAAAATCTGTAAGCACAGATTACTTGGACCTTCTCAACAACTCCTACAGCTGGCTTAGAGAAATTACACAGCAGAAAACTGAGGCTGGCGGCACCTAGAACTGGCAAGTCCCTTCCTGTGTGGGGCTCAGCAGGTGAGTGCTACTAGCTGCCTGCCTCCAAGCCTGGCTCTGCCACTCACCACAGGAGTTAGGAAGTTACTGACTTCAGTTGGCAACCGTTCCTACCACAAGGAGTTCTGGTGAGTTCTAAGGGAGGAACTGCAGCCCTGATTGATCTCCTCCCAGAGTCCTAGATTTATATATCCATCACTGCCTTGTTACTTGATGGGCATATCAAACCAAACACATACCAAAAATAGCTTTTAATTTTTTCCCCATAAACTTAGTCATACACACTGCCCCGAGTCCCCTTCTCAGTGAGCAGCAACAGCCACCAGCAATTACTCAGGCTAAAACCTAGTAGTCACCCCCACTCCTTTCGTCCCCTCCCCCCTCCAGCCCCTCATCTCAGTTACCAGCGAGTCTTGTCAACCCAGAAGCCCAGGCAGCTCAGATCTGCTTGCTTCTCTCCATCACACCCATCCTAGCTTAGGTCACCTTGTTGTCTTCCTGGGACATTGTTGAAACTACCTCCCAGACAATCTCCTTGATCTTACTCGTTTTGTTTTGTTTTTTTCCCCAAATCAGGGTCTCCTCTGTCACGGAGGTTGGAGTGCAGTGGTACAAGAATGGCTCATGGCAGCCTCGAACTCCTGGGCTCAAGTGATCCTCCCGCCTCAGCCTCCCAGATAGCTGGGGCTATAGGCATGTGCCACCATGCCTGGCTAATTTTTTTTTGTAAAGATGAGGTCTCACTGTGTGACCCAATCTAGTCTCAAACTCCCAGGCTCAAACAATTCTCCCACCTCAGCCTCCCAAGGTATTGGGATTACAGGTGTGAGCCACTACACCCGGCCTCTACTCTTGTTAATGAGACAATGCAGGCAATGAACTTGGCAAGGTATATGGCCTAAGACCCTCGGTCCAGGTTGACTATTATTCCACACTTATTTACTGAGCCCCTATCATGCACCAGGTGTAGTGCTGAGCACAGGGGAGACAGACATGAACATGGCCCTCCTCAACTAGTGTAACAATCCAGTGCGATAGATGCCATGGAAGGAGCACTGGGTGGCCTCAGACTGCCTAGATGGACTCCTGCAGCAAATGACTTTAATCCTGACTGGCTGAGAAGATCAGGGACAGAGGATGGGGGAGGAGGAACACTGCGGGAGTCCGCAGATGACTGAGAACTTGGCACTACCAGTGCCGCTCAAGGTCCAGATGGAGGGTCACGAGAGCAGGCTTGGAAGCTCCACAGGACCAGACCTTGCAGGGCCCTGTAAGTCAGAAAACAGGAAAGGAAAAGGCCAGAGACCCAGACTTCTGGCATGACTAACCGAGGGGATGGTAGGACCATTTAGGGGAACAAGAGTAAATACCACAGGAAGCATAGGTTGGCCATTTCAGACATGCTGGATTTGGAGAATATGCAAGATGGTGCAGATGGAGATGTCCAGTAGGCAAATGGACACAGAGCTCTGGAAATGAGAAGTGTGGTCTCAGCTGGGGTCACAGGTTTAGGAGTTGTTGATAAAAAGGGGGTGATAAGCCCGGCCCGGTGGCTCAGCCTGTAATCCCGCGCCTTGGGGAGGCTGAGGTTAGTGGATTGCCTGAGC